AAATACACCCTTTATCAATAGTTCAGGGATAATTTGATCCATCTTCAGTGGACAGTAAGGGACGAGCTAAAGACACAAATATCAACACTGAGGACCTATGACTCATATCACATGCGTGGCTTGACAGTGATCATAGTGTGTGTGGTGACGTCTTACTGTGTGCCCTGCTTGCTCTAGCAGAGCTTTGACCTCTCTGACGCCTCGGGCCATGCTTGGAGATGGATGCGTGTAGCCATCGCTTTCCAAATAACCAATCCTTAGAGGTCTGGAGCTTCTGTATATCTAAGGGTCAATCTTTTTTACTTCCTCAGTCAATTAAACATAATCAGTTTGCAAAGGTTAAGATTACAGCCTGTAAAGTTAGTTCTGTATCTCAGGACATTAATAACAAGGTAGTTTCTGTGACTAATAATTGTTGTTCCGTTCATGTATTTTGCATCATTGGACATTGTAACTAGAAATATTGTCACATTCCTTGTTGCCATGCAGATATACACACAATGTATTAGTAGTTTCAGAGTTTGTCAGTAGGTGGATGAAGGAGACTGTGGTGTGTCCAGCTGCCAAGCGTTAAGTGACAGGAGTGTGTTTTTGTGTTCAGGCAGTGACCGGTGGCGAGGGTCTACCTGTGGCGGTTCAGTGTGTTGCTCTGCCGTGGCAGGATGAGCTCTGCCTGCGCCTCATGAAGGAAGTGGAACAACTGGTCAAAGAAAGCAAGAAGTAAAGCTGCTTTCTTTGTCAGTCTCACAGGAGAGGCTGCAGACTTCAGAGGAGACATGTTAACTTGAGTATTTCCTGTAATAATGAGCTAATCGAGTCATAAATGGTGGATGAATCTTAGTAGTACAAGTACAGTCTATTCATTTTGTGTTTATTTTGGTCTTTGATTGTTTCCTAAAGGCTTTAGGAACTCTAACTCTTTCATTTTTCATCTTTCTTTCATACATTCATTTAATAAACCATGTGTTTTTTTTGTCTTGCTATCCCCATCTATGCTTTATATTTCTTTATATCCATAACAGCAAACATGTTAGATCTTGTTGAGAAAATAAAATGTGAAATCATTAGGCAAGTCTGCTTTATTTATATCCATAACAGCAAACATGTTAGATCTTGTTGAGAAAATAAAATGTGAAATCATTAGGCAAGTCTGCTTTATTTGTATAGACCAAAATAACCTCACAGACAATAAAAAGACCAAAAAGCATACTAAACAATATTACAAAAAAGTCACAAATTTATTCAAACGGTTACAAGTAAACAAACAAACAAGCAGGCTATGTGAAATACTTAAATATGTACACATACAATATATGCAGACATGAGAAGAATTAGACAAGAAAAGCGGTCAAATATCCAGACAGAACTATGCCAGAAGCTTGTTGAGGGTTACCAAAACTTTCTGAGGTACAGCTTGCAATCGGCCCACCATGGAAAACTTTTTTCTTTCTGGGGAGAGACGAGGATCAAAAGCGACAAAAAAACTTAGCAATAAATATAGCCAGCTAAACGGAAGAGAATTTAGCATGTGCTTGCAAATCTGGTTGATTGCCACAAATGCTATGGACGCATCAGCAGTAGGGTAAAAAAAAGGACACAGATTTAGTGTTTTTTCCTGTTTTTTTCGATTACATAAGCAAACGTTAAATACTTAGGCCACCCGTCATGACCATCCAACAGTTCTTCTCCCTACTGGCTGATGATGGTCGGCTGGGATTGATGTGAACGGGGTTGTCAATGCTATAAAACTTGCAATTGACATTAAGACTGGTATACAAATGGAATAAACCAGTTTTAAGTTTTTTCTGCCTTGTAGTGTTGACTCTGTGTATGTGGTCTTTTTGAACGATTGATCTGATTTTTTATTTATAAAACGAATCTAAATATCAATAGTTCCTTTTACTGTCCTACTGTGTGTGTCTGATTCTTGTTGTTTTGTTTTTTTTTTTTTTTTCTAATAAAATAGCCCGGTATTAAACTACTTTTTTTTTTGATTTTGCATTCTTTCAAACCTGCCCCGAAATCTTGATGGGGGGGGGGGGGGCTGGTTTTGGGGTTGTTGTTGATTTTTTTTTTGTTGTAAAATGTTTCATATATTAAACGGAATTATGACATGATCATCGTGACAATAATAAAGGTTGAAACTGTTGTTAATATAGTTATATATTTAATAATATCAAAAGTAACTAAACTCGAAACACTCCGTTGTTCCGGAGGGAGAATAATTTCCGGGTCACGGAAAGCTAACAGCTGATGCGGTGCAGAAAGGGGAAAAGAGGCTATAGGAAGTTAGCGAGTAAGCGGTCGGCTCTCCTTTATCCTAATATAAAAATGATAATAATCACTATAAAATACAGAACTTAGGTGAAAATGTTTAGGTGATCGTTCTAAGGAGAAGTCTTAAATGGACTTTCTGTAATTAATTTGGATGCACACGCACTTCAACACATATTTGTTGTTTTTGTTTACGCTGTCATTCACAGTGCCGTGTTATTTGGGAGTACGCACGCGCAGTGAGTGAGCGTCATTGTTTTATTAAAGTAGGAGCTGTTACTTGCTTAACGCGCCTATGTATTTTGCTCAAAGGTCAGCCTGTCCCATTTAAACAACCGTGTGTAAAGTCCACTTGTCATTTAGTCGAGTTTGCAGCAACAGGACAAAAATGCAAGCCTTGCAGAATATTGAACAGTTTACTAAGGGAGTGAAAATGGACAAGTGGGCAGTGGCTCTGGTCACTGGTGCTACCTGCGTTGTCGGATCCGTGGTTATGCTGGTGAAAAAGATCAGCAGCCACCGAGAGACGGAGGAAAAGATCAAGAGAGCCAGAAACAAGAGAGAGGAGAGCTTGCAGCGGGCAGAGCAGGCGGTGCTCCGCTACAAAGAGTCGGTGAGAGTTCAGAGCCCTGGACTTTGAATTGTTTAAGTTAATCTTTGGAGATATTAGTTCAAACCTGGTGAACTATGGACAAACAATTTGGTAAATCCAAATTCAAATTTTATTTGTCACGTACACAGCAGGGACGTGCAGGGGGGGGGGGCTAGAGGGGCTTGAGCACCCGCCCCTTTCCTGATGAGTGCCCAAAGTGCCCTTTTGTTGAGGCAACTTTTAAATTTTTTTTATTTATTTTTATTATTTTTTTATGTGTGTGTGCGTGCGGAGTCCTGTCTGTGCCCCTCAACAATAATATTTAACTATTAATCATAGTTTTGCTAAATAAAAGGATCTGGCTTGCATCAGTCACATGATCACATTTAACCAATGATCGCCCTTGACGGCAGAACGCGCTGGTTACGAGCCGGGAACGAGCTCACAAAGAGCACGCGCATTTTTAGCGGTCCGGAGCTGTAGGAGAAACACAAGTTAACTCAGAGACACAGACTGATGCGACACAACCAGTAAGTAGGTGTACAGCGCACACTGTAGTGTGTAGCACCCAGGAGTATTAGCTTATTACGTACACGTTGGTAAGCTGTCTTGTTGCAACTGACGAACTGAAACAAACGAGCGTGCTGTGTGTGCAACAGCGCGACAAACATTACCTGTCCTTTTATTAACTGCACAAGTAGTGCTGGTCACAGCTGCTGGCTACCTGTGTAAGGCTGTCATGGGTCTGTAGCTCTGTCACCGTTTTAGGGAACATATTTAGTTTTAAAGTAAGTTTCCGGGCATTTCCTGCCTTTCTGGAGGGATTATATTTCACTAAAAAACGATCTAATATGCATGTCCACATAATAATTATTATAATTATAATATATTAAAAAACACACGCTGTATTTTAAAGAACATACATTAAGAAGCAGATTATATTAGATTTATATTTTAAATAAGACAAAATTTGGATTTTACAGCAGTAAAATGATTGTATCTCTACAGTTTAAAAATGTAATAAGCTTTGCCCTGCACAGAGTGGATAGTGAAACAAATGGAATCATCATAAATACATTATTTCATATTTATTACTTCCCCCTCCTCATTGCTTTATTATTGTAGCTCTAGTAATAAATAATAATGTAAGGATGCCCATAGTATATACAGTATTCTGAAGAAGGTCTAAAATGTCACTGTGTGTGCATGTGTGTGTTTTATTTAGCTGGATTTAAAAAAATATTACTCATGATATAACATTGTGCAGACATGGCTGGTAAGGACATGAGGAGGAAACAGCAGGAGCTGTGTGAGGCTACTAAAGGCAGTGCTATAACATTTTTCTGTCATCATTTTATTATAGATTAAGTGCAAGAGTTGTTAGGTGTGGATAATTAGATTATAGTTTATTGCAATAGCAAGTTGTGCCTTGTTCTCAGATAGACAGCAAGTGGAGAGTGATATATGAAATGATGGGATGGAAGGAAGAAGAGAAGCAAAGAGTGATTCACAGGCAGAGCCTAAATTATTTCTCACAGTTTTTGTTGCCTTATGGTTCCAAGCGCTGTCACCAATCTTTGCATTTTGTTATTATCTCATGACACTTGTTTAATCAGCTACCATCTCTCCTGTGGACTTTTTAAACTGTCTACAGTCTCAGATCAACAACAACATGTTTCTTCAGGACTTGAACAAGCACACTGTCCTTTTCAGCGGGCTGGTCCAGGTTAATGACCACACCACAAGAACAGTCATGATTCTAGTGTTGGAAAAAACAAAGATGATAATGTTACATCAAATACCTGAGCTATGATGCTCGAGAATACTGTACCATACTTAGAAATACTGATGGGAAATACTTTAACTGTAACTGAAATTTGCATTGCATAACCTTTGTAATACCTTAAATGTAATATTTTCTTTGACGCTAACTGGAACTCCGTACAAGAGACCATCCTTGTTGGAGCCAACAGTTGTCAGCTGGTCCAAACTCTCCAGCAAAATTTCAGTGCAGCAGTTCAGCTTTTTGTTTACAGCCAGAGTCTGTTGAAAGGAAACAAGCACAGACAGATTCAGAGAAACGTTTTCCCCTGAAAGAAGTTTTCATGCTTCAAGGGGATGAACATTCCTGTCAAAAATAAAAAAGAGAGACAAGTTCTGAAAATTAAAATGATTACTTGATTACTAGTGATTACTTCTAAAAATTAGCTTTTGGTGTATTTGAGCTATTATGAAAGATTTGTTTTGTTATATTAAGTGAACCTTTGTGTCATGTTGGATACTGAACCTTTTCCATATAAGAGTAAAGCACATCCTCAGGGGTAAGTGAGCCTTCCTTCAGTTGCTGTGTCAGCTCAGACAGGGAGAGTGTCAGGATGAAAGCAGAGTCAGTTGTCGGATGCTAGGAGACACAGACCCACACAGAATCATTACTTCAAAAAAACATTTAAAGCAAGAATTTAAGACTTAGTATCACCTCTAATTTTGCATCCTGGTCATGGAATGCAAACACATTAAACACATTAAAGCTCTCCCTGACAGAGTTCATAACACTCAAAAAGACTTATGTAACCGAAGACTGTTATTGCTATTTATAAGCTGGATCTGTATTTTTGTATTATTTTGTCTCTAACTACTTATTAAGTGTTTTGATGTTATATTGGAATTGTAACTTGTAACAATGTAAGGGTTTGTCCTCTTGACCAATTTATTCTTGAAAAACTGATGTTAATCTCAAGGGATTTTTCTGGTTCAAAAATAAATAAAATAAATTAAATTAAATTAAACAAAAAAAAGCATTGAACCAGGATTTTTCCTTTGTCTGTATCCACCTCTGTATACTTAATTACTTATGTAATTAAGTAATACCCTCACCCTGAGGCTCTCTTACGCCCTACACGTATAATTAATTTTGCAACTGTGGAGAACTTTTCTGTCTTTCCTGAAACTTGCCTGCTCCATTCCTGACTGTTCCCTATCTCCCATGGTTGATGATTTTGCTAGCACCCTTTTTTCCACATGCTCCTCCATCCTCAATACTGTTGCCCCTGTTAAAATGAAGCGCCCTAGATAATTTCCCGATGTTGGCTAAACGATTCTACACGTGACAGTAGTATCCCCCGTGGCCAACTCCGTGATGCCTTGGGTTCCTTTAATAGTTTCCTCACCGACACTGTTAGTGACCTGGGTGTGTTTTTGGATAGCTCTTTTAAATTCGACAAACAAGTGTCTGCTCTTGTCAAATCTTGCTTCTATCAATTGCGTCTTATTAGCAAGGCCAAACATTATGTCCCGCATAGAGACGTGGAAAAGCTTATCCACGCCTTTGTGACATCTAGGTTAGATTATTGCAGCTCCCTTTACTTTGGTCTTAACTCGACTCTTCTCCATAGACTGCAAATTGTTCAGAAAGCGGCTGCGCGTCTCCTTACTGGTAGTGGGGGGCGTGTCTCTATTAACGCTGTCCTTGCCGACCTGCACTGGCTTCCTGTTAAGTATCACATTCAACTCAGAATCCTGCTGCTCACCTTCCGAATTATTAACAATATAGCTCCAGGCTACCTCATTGAGCTACTTAGATTATACACCCCTGCTACAGTACTAAGATCATCTTCCCAGTCACTCTTGGTACTGCCGGTACTTTAATTTATATATTTTATCTTATTCTTTCCCAGTTAAATTTACCCTT